AGTGACTAAACACGATTACTGTCTTTAATTTTTTTCTCATAATCATCTTGGGCTGCATTGCACAGCACCAGCAGGCAACTGAAGATTAAGATTTGTGATATCCGTGTAAAGCAACTGCTCTTAAACAAATGCACCGTTCAGCAAAGAAGATAACATCTAATGCATATGTAGCGCGAATTTTACTGCGTTAAAGTGTAAGAATTACCATTAGTCAATAATTCGTTTGACAACAACAGAGTTAGGCCAGGAGCACCGTGATGTTACTTTTCACCTTGCTCGCACTTTGCCACGAAGTTAAGCTGAAATACCGTCTCCGAAGTGGATCCGTAGGTAGCATTATCGAATGACATGAAATTCAATTACCAGCCTTGTACTACAAAGTGCTAAAACTTTTACAATTGAATTTAGAATTTTCGAACAGTGCTACTTTCTTTGCCATCATTGTTCTATCGGTTGAGCTTCAGATTTGCGGTCGAACGATTGTCCGGTCACTGGTTATTTGTCCTCCTAAGACAGATGAAATATAACCACGACCTTAGAAAAAACAGGACAGTACACTCTGATGCAATAACGCATCTAGCTGTAATACAACCAAAAACCGAGAAAGTATCACGACTGAACATACAACAACGAAAACTAGCCCCTTTCATGAATTCAATGAAATGAACAGGGAAGTGAAAGAGAAACTGGCATTTAAAGTGGCGAACTTTCCTTTTCCAACTGTGTCTGAACCAGGTTTTGAGAACAACAACGACTGAATTAGAAATTGCCTAAAAAATTAGCCTATTATTACAATGCGGAGATTGCATATGCTTCTATAACTCAAAAATTCATATATTTCAGGGGATTGCAATCAGTCGCTGCCCTCTCTTTAGAGAGTAAAACACTGCAAAATGTTATACGCATTATTGTTTTTTACCATGCTGGCGCAGCGAATGATTTTCAGTTTGGTACGATGTAAAATTGATTTGTTCAGCGCTTCTTCAGATTTCTACTAGATTTAAATTCCGAAATCTGGTCTTGTAGTGCTATTTCCTTCAAAATCCACCATTTTTTCTGATAATCTGGCCGAACTCTTTGTTTTAACATTGTATTCGAAATTGTCATTCAGAATATAATCGTTAAAGTAGATATACTGAGTCGTTTCACAGTTCGGAAATGGAAAGCAGTAGAGTAAAATGTAACATGGCACTTTTTCACTAAGGCATGTTTTATCTGAGGCACAGGAGAATAGCATTTATATGAATTCGAAAATGAATGTCGCCGGCAAAGTTGAACATACCAAGTTGTTTTAGAACTGATTGGACTTCAAGTTCAGTAGCAGTAGTCGATAACGTAACGTTTCAAATTTTTTAGTTAATTCGTTTTGTGCCTCTTGACGGACTGACGGCTATGAATTGTGAAAGTTTATTATGGTCTCCGAAGGTGTTCGCTGGAGGGACTATTGCTACTTTAGATCATGGCTTTTTTGTTTTCAACGTTGATACGTCAACGAAAAAAAAACAACGTACCAACACGGAAGGATGTATAGCTTTCTTTTATATTTCTTATGAGTAACCATTTTCGCAAGGAAGGTATACGGAAATGATTTTACGCTACACCGGACCCTTTAAACACAGCATGACCACTCTGGTAGGAAGAATGGGTGGTCTGGACATTGCTAAAAAATGATCTAAGGAAATGCTGGTGACATCACTCTTTCGCTCAATGGATGGCTGAAAAGTGAAAATTTTTCAGTATAAAATTATCGAATAACCGTATGCTCTTTGAATGTTGGATGACAAACTAGATAATACAAATCTTTTTTATCGATATAACCATACGCCCGCATAACTCTTGTTGCTGTGTGATTTGTTCAAACATAAGGAGAGTTTAAACAACAGAATAACCCAGAATCATGTCTGAACTACGGAAATAGCGGCTTATATCAGCGCTCGCACAAGGGAAACTGTTCAGACTAAGGTACATGGAGCGTTCGCCAAATATTCCAAAATGTTTCTGCGTTGTATTAAATATAGCTGTATTATTTCTGAAAAATATTATGGTGAAAAGATCAAACATTTTAAAGGAGCGTGCAATGGGCAGCGAGAGCAGAAGTTAAAAACAGCAGCTAGCAACTGTGCGATTACTGCAGCATAAATCACTGCTCCAGGAGTTTGCAGCGCAAAGATAGAAATTCCTTTTATGAAAAACATTGATCCAGTGATATAAATAGAAATAGCTATATAGAAATAATATTTCATGCACGTTTAGTCAAGAACTTATGACAGTATAACATCTACAAGACAAAATGTGATAGTTAAGTATACGAATGGCGGTTGTTCGAAGAGAAATTCATGATAAGACGTCGATCTCTGAGTTGAAGAGTTCGATCCTCAACGGATTGAGATAAGAACAAGGTAATAGCTGCACCGAGTCAAAAATTACTGTTGCTAGCCATGATGGTAGAGTCGTGACGTCGTCGTGGAGAGCCGGACAGCAGAAACGGCGCAGCGTAGCGTCCGACCAGTTCGCGCATGTTGGCGCTCGCCAATTGTTGTGACAGGTGTCTTGCAGGAAGAAGCAGCAGAAGCAGAACAGAACGTTATATAGTTGCCGCCGCTATCGCTTCGGCCGTCATCGCACAACATGAGCACCGTTCGTCGTCATCGCGCCTCCAATCCATGATCACACTCGAACGATTTCGTTCAGTTTATTTCGAGTCCCAGAGCCGCTGGTTGAGGGAGGTTACGAAGGGTAAATGGGGGAGGCAAATGGATTCACTTTACGGATTGATAGACAGTTTTAATGCGTCCAATGCTAAGTAAAAATTTCGATGTGCAGGTTAAAGCAAAACTCAGATTTGAGTAGCAAAGAACGTGGTAGAAAGTAGAAATACAAATGGAGAGCATCGATGGTCGTTCGCCGATTGGCTTGTTGCTCCGTCA